ATAATGGCAATGGGCTAATATTAAATTAATCGAAATGGCTGTGCGCCCCATCAATCGGGGCGCGGAGTAAACTGGCTATGCGCCCGTGATAAAATAATTAATGTGGATTTTATTTCTCAATATTTACAAAGCGAGCTTCGCTCAACAATTATATTCAAATGAAGAATTTGTCCCAATTTACATGAGAAGGGACTGTGCACAATACACTCATAGCATTACCACGCATAATCTCCAAACTTAAACGTTGAAACAAAAAACAAGTCGAGCGACTCTCGCCCGTTCTCAAATACAGTTTCTTTCCAATCTCCTTTAAGGTAACAATGCCAGTCTCACACCAAGTGCCAAAAGTCTCGCATGCAAAGGCGACAAAGTGACATCGATCAGTGAGGGACTTGTATTTCCCAATCTTCTCCTTGGAAGCCAGCTCAGCGGCCGCACCGGCACACTTTGAGGTCGCGTCGACATACGAATCCGCCATCGTATCTCTACAGGTCACGTCCCATACTAAAGGCTGCCCGCGGTACCACTTCCAGCGCGTGGCTCCATCCGGACGCTTTCCATTTTCGCGCAAAAAGCCAATAGGCTCTGGATACGATTCAATCCCGGCATTACATAACGCTCGCAAGATAATATCGTTAATACCGTTATGTCGTTCCCTTCTACCAATGCACTTCTTACAGGCCAGCCCATGGTATCCGTTCTCTGCTACATCTTTTCCACATCTGGCACACGAGTGACACTCGACAATTTTAGCGCCAAGCCACAGGCCAACGGAAATTCGAAAAGTCTGATCGTCCAAAAAATTGCCGAACACTTTTGCGGGAAGAGCGTTAAGCCATGCCCCGGCATACTTCGTGCTGATAGCTCTCAACCGTGCTTCGTCTTGCTTACTGCCTCCGGCTTTGCTCCATATCTCAGTGACGTCCCTTTGTATAACAGCATTATCCCATACACACTGGTGAACGCGTGCCAAATCCAGGGGTAACTCTTCACAGGCGGACTCTCGCTTCCAGCATTCACATGCAGCATTGACTAACTTCTCCGTATCGCCATTGTAGATCCGTTAATTAATTATTATTTGTTACCACGGAATTACATTGCTCTGCGCCATGAATTTTTTGTTTTTCGTCTATAGCACCGATAATCTTGCAGGATTTTTTTGTGTTTCACTATTAACGTAACTTCTGCAGCCGAAAGTTTCATTGTTTTCACCGCTGGAATTGTCATTCATGGTAAAGCATTCCCGATAGTTCGCACCGGTAAACCGGCTTTCAGCAGTTCCTGTACGCCATGGCGTTATCCTTGCACTTTCAAATGCATTTTCGGACCTGAATCCATTGCGTAATCGCCATGATAAAGTGGTTATTAGATAATAGTACGCGAAAAATGAATACAGATGTGATCGAATTTGTGGCACCCACTTAAGGGCACTCCCTGTAATAAGGGTTTTGGTTTTTTGCCTATTTGTACTTTTATCCAAACCTTTGTTTTTCAAAAGACCATCCATTTGAAGAGCGTTTTTTTCTTTCTTGGAAAACGCAGTTACTGTAACTTCTCTGGGAATGCATCAAAACCACTAGATCGCCTTAAGGAACTGTTTTCGTTGTAATAGGAACCTTTCTTATTTTCATTTGCTACATGATTGTAATCACTTCAATGAGCAATGTGGCTGATTAAAGGAAAACGCTTACGCCTGGGCGCAGGAGGAGGCGACGTGGCCTCGTTCACCCCGAACAGCGCGGCCGATGATCATGAGCCCAATCGATCCATCCGGAAACGATAGTGGCATGCCGCTACCGCCCGTGTTGTTGCTGGAGATCTTCCGCTCGCTGGACTCCATCGAGCGCTTTCGCTGTCGGCGCGTGTGTGCATTGTGGACTATACTGCTCACCACGGACGGAAACTTTTCCGATGTGCGCGTGTCCGGGAATAATGCGGACTATGGCGAACTGCCCTATCACGCGGACGACTACTGTCTGGTGGCTGGTGTATTCAAGTGTTTCCGCAGCACAACCACGGTGGTGGTTCTTGCCAAACTGCGCAGTCTGAACTTCTCTCAAGCCATCCACATGTCCAGCCTCCTCCAGTGCCTGCTCAGCAGCGGCCGCCTACGGGCGCTGGTATTTCACGGCTGTTCTTTCTACGTGGGCGCCGGCATACCTTTTCCCAATTATATATGGCAAATAACGGAGCTGATCGCGGGGTGTTCGCCGCTGGCTGACAGAGTAGTTCTGAAGAACTCTCGCTTGGAACATGACGGTTTGGAAGCGGTTGTAGCGCTGCACTTCTTCAGCGGGCAGTCACAAGAGGAAAATGAAGTGAATCTGTGGGATCTCTTCGAAAGCGGTTTATTTCTCCGGAAGCCGTTGATTCGATCGGCATTTGCGGAGCGTGTCGATCGCTATGTTAGGCAGGGTGCCATGGAAGACGGCGAAGAGACCGATGAGCTAATGATGGAGGTACGCTGCTCTTAACTTTTATTTCTCCAGTACACATTGCAGTTTGCAGCGATAAGCGGAAATTTTCAGGTCATCTAATTTTTTGTCACAACAGCCACTGACGTGTACGGTGGTTCAAGTGGTCCACTAGTACAGTACTAGTAACTGAGTGAACGAGGGTCGTTTAAGTGAACCACGTTTAATAATAAATTCCATCAACCGATTTCTTCCCGGTTTCCTTTCCCCGATTAAGCGCACCTTCCATATAGTAAGTAGTCTTTAACAGATTAAAGAAAGTGACCCGGTACATGCTGCCAGATTCGGGTACATGCGCAAAAACTTTCACTTTCGCGCACTCCCGCACACATTTTTTGCAGTAGTGCGTTATGACATGAAAGTGAACTGCTCTGTATTCATTGTTGAGAAAACCGTTTGCGCGCGTTAAATTCGGCTCTGAAGTTATGGCTTTAAGAAAATTCAAAACGTTTGAATGCATTTAAGTGTCCAATGTTCTCATTGTGTACTGATCTCCTTCAAATTTTGAACAAATATGCACATCGTCTTAACACGAAGCCGGGATTCTGGTATTTCTTTCCAATTTTAAAATGAACTTAACAATTTATGAGATTCATTTTAAAATTGGGAAAACACTTTTGTAATCTGAATCCATGTCAAAACGGTCTTCGTAACTTTCTACATTTCTGTGCAAAATTTAAAGAGGATCGGCCCAAAACGAGTTTTGGTACTTCTACAGCTGACTGCATTTAAACTTTTTGGAATTTGCTTGTAGCCGTATGATATCTTCCTAACCGAATGTTGCTCGCACAATCGGATTTCAGGTCAATAATGTATACAAATCATTTCGATGCACAGTGTTATAGGACACTGTGAGAAACTGTTTGAGAGTACCGGAAAGTGAAAAAAATAGTAGCAACTCACAATACACAATGGCCGTTGAGCGGCATTCAACGGTCGTTTTTTGGGCCGGCGTGGCATTTGCGCACTTTTACCCTTAGCCACAGTTCAACGAGTTCGATCCACTTCCTACGTCCCACTTCTACTTGACAGCTGTTTCGCTGACTCACTATTCACGACTATGCACTATCCCCGTTGATACCTTACGATATTTTGATAGCTTTGCATAATAAAATTATAGGCGATAAGAGTTTATTACAAGGTACCGGATCGCTACCCTTTCACGGCAGCGAGAGTGAACCGCTTTGTGAGAAAAGCATTAGAACACGCTTCTCCAGTTAAATCCCGGATTTCTCGGAACCTTACAGTGTATGTTGATTATCGGGTAACTTGTCCTTGCAGACCTTATGCTACTATATGGGTTCGGACCCGCGTCTATCCGCTGAACAGAAGACCATGTTGAACAGTTTGGATATGGATGCCTCCAAGCTGACCACATTTGCAGCGTTAGTGTTGAACGAATGGACTGGAAGCGACGATTCCAATCAACCACCGACAATCGAGGATAGTCCATAGTAGGATACTAGTGCCGGATAACTGTTAACGCCTTTCTGTGTGTTTACGAACCGAACGGCTTGCTTGGTTTTGTTTAGCAGATTCGTGATGGCAGAACTATCTTTATAATGATAATAGTATAACTAGTTTTGCACGTGCCCGTGCAAGGTTTACGGATTTAAGCTACATCACCTTGTTGAAATTTATTTATCAATCGTTTATTTACGTAATCGTATTTTACATGGCGAACTAAAGAACGTGATGCCGCCGTTGAGTTTTGTTCCGACACCGTTCTTTGAAGCAGCACAAAACTGCGAGAAATAGTAACTTATCCTGACTTACTAGGCACACTAAGTGCGGTCTTCGTTGAAGCTTCCACACGAAGTAGAACCGCCACTCGGTTGTATCTGTAAATAATACACATTGCACAACGAAATCCATGGCTCTGGCATTTACAAACTGCAGAATATATTGGAAAAAAACCTTAAGAATGCGCAACGATGGTACCAACTTACCGGTCAACTGTTTTGTGACCAAACGACCATAAATCGACTGTGCACCATGGCTTCCGTCAACCAGCATTGCAGCTCACAGCTCGTCCATCAAAGAATTACTGTCACACCGTCCAACCTAATCGCCACTGATACCGGTAAGAAAGCTGAGAATGTTTGTTTCACCGAATATTGTATACCGCCGCAGCTATCCCTATTTAAAAGACTGGGAACTCTTACCGAACAGCTGGCCCACGAACTGCCGGCAGTGAGTCAAAAAGTACAACAACTTCTCGACCACACGCAAATTGTGGAATTCGTTGACCGTCTGGCACAAAACCGTGCACTGACTAAAAGGTCAGTTAGCATTCAGTCAAAACACTTGACAGATTACTCGTGAATCACTAACATGTGTTATTTCGTACACAACATGTTTGATCAGTAGAGCGCACTGAAAACGCCGCTGGCACGGCAGTGTAAAAATCACGCATCGATCACGACAAACGATCCGTGGTACCGGTTAACGTGTGGCAGATTAGCTAACGACGGTTAAACAATAACTCATTTCAAAAAACGGTCGGTTGTAATGGAATCCGAAAAATCTTAGCTTTCGTAATCAGTTTTCTTTTTCTTTCCAAGGTGGGGCGGTTTACCTTCGCCGAGATTTAATTAACCAGAAGTCTAACCAAAGACTTATGATTTGTATTATTCCCGGAAATGTTTTTGTACGAAAATGCCGAACGACTGGTGTACACGTGGCAGTCGGTGGATGTGGAAGTAAATGGACTGCTCCAACACGGTCAAGTCATCCGCTTGGAAGACGTCACCGGCAGCAACCCACGTTTGATCGTGGATTTCAGATGCGCGTCCCAACGAGCGGTGTCAGTCCAATACGGAGCGGTTTTTGACTGTTCGGTGGTGTACAATACCGATGATTATGTTGCCCCCCGCTTTTACCCGTGCTGCGATCTACCGACGCCGCCATGGAAGCGGGGAAGATTGCCGTGCAGGTGCTCTTCCGTGCCCGCCCCGATCATCCTTGGAAATGGTATCCCGGGGCACTGCTCATGTACTTCGTCTACAATAATTGTCTATCCGATTATGCCTGGGTGGATGTGATGGTGGAAGGGTGCTCTGTCCGCGAACTGTTTCCCAAGCGACAGATACGCCTACCGCTTACAGACAGAGCGCTTCACGAGCGACGGCTGGAACACGGCAGCTTTTTGATCCGGACGTGCAGCGTGCCGGATGCACAACCGTACGGAGACCTGTCGACAACGGAACCGGCAGTGATGGCCGCGTTCTGCAATTTATTGGAGCGGCAATTCCATTTAAAAGTAGTATCAGCTGACAACCGGGCAATTGTCTATTTACAGCATCACCGCGTGTCCCGCCGCTATCTAATACTTCTGCAGTAAGTTTAACTGACTTAGGTATTTTGCTAACATCGTTTGCAGCGAGTCGGCAACTGGATATTGTCAAATCGTATACGCAAGTGCCTCCGTTAAAGAGACAAGTTTTTTCGAGAATAAACTTACCAGTCCTTTAATTGTTTCTGAAATAGATAACAAGCCTGGAAAACGTTAAGCGAGGGGTCGAACATCAAAGTGACCGGAAAACCCAATCATTTCCGAATCCGAACGACGAATTAGCGGGAGGGATTACGCAGTCTCTGGACGTTGTAGTCAGCCGCAACTGCACACTGTACGCGTGCACATCGGGGATCTTGACCTTTGTGGCAGCCTAGCTAGTTTCTTCCGGTCGCTAATGCGTTCCAGAAGGTGCTAGTGACCGGTGACCGCTAATATCTCATTTTGCGCCAATGACCACTGCGGCTGGACTATCCGCGCCGCCATTTTGGACAGTGGCACTTGCGGCCATACCAAGAAAAAACGCAAACGCGCACAATGCGGGCAGTATAAAGGCGGCTGGGCGTGCGAGATATTCAAGAAATGCAATGTTAAACTTCAAAAATAATGCTTCTTGCAGTCTCGTATGAGAGTATAATGAAAGTTATGGGAGAGAAATATCGTTAGCATCGCTTATTTTCTGTATTCCATCTATAAATAGCGGCCAAAACATGGGAACGGGATATGGTAGATTTTAATTTTTTGCTGACCAGTGATCAACTTGTTGACCACTGCTATACTCTAGTTTGGAAGTGCTTTTTTTGTACTATTTAATGGAGTTATTGGTTTTATGTAATTCCCGTTCGTCTAATTATCACAAAATTAAACGTTTTTATGCTGTAGACCGTCCATGGGCATTGGCGTTGGCAAACACCCTAGGCACCACGGCTGACCTATGGTCAGCACAAGCTTACAAAAAATTCCCATTCTTAATTGATTTTTTTCATCGGGAAATCCCGATTTTCAAAAGGAAACTCGCATTCCTTCGGGTACCGCCCGCTGGAGGGTTAAATGAACTGTCCTACTTTGCAACAATATTTGGCGCACCCTGAATAATAGAGAATGCAAGTTGAGACGTTTTTCGAAACAACTAGCTGAAGACATGAACCACAAAATACGTACAGCTGTAACCCACCAAAACGTCCGGACGACCAAGACGTCCAGCGGACGTTTTGGTGTTAAACCAACCAAACCGTCGGGGGACCAAAAAAACGTCCGCCGTAAATTCTGCCCACCCGAAATTTTTTTGCGCTCTCGATTCGATCTGAGAGCTTTTTTATCCCGGACACTATGGTCGGAGACTCGGAGTACTATTTCAGCTCGGATACTTTGCTAGGAGTACTAGTTCTGCCCGGAAACTTTTGTCGGGGAACTACAAATTTACTGTGTTTCAGCCCGTGTAATTTTTTCCCTGAAGGGGTTTCTGTTGAGACGGTAGAAAGGATAGATTAGTGAAAGCAATTTCGAACTGAAACTGGTGGGCCAAAAGCTACATTCGGCAATAAACGTCCTTAGATTTTGCAAAGGTCGTCGCGTATTGGAATGGGCTTGATTCGGAATGATAGAAAAACATACAAAACAAACTTTATATTTATGAGTGCGTTCACAGCTTTTTCAAAATTTGTTTTGGTAATCGAAACTACAATTTACTATGATAATATATTTGCGCCCGAAACAATGATTATTTTTATCAATCTGCTTTTCCACCACGTTTTTTCAATATATTCGATATCATGGATCAATATCAAAGGAAGAAAATGGCATAGAACGAAACAAAACATGACGACACCAAGGTGTCCGGGCTGAAACAGCACTCCGACCAAAGTGTCCCGGATGCAAAAGCTCTCAGGACATTCAGGTCGAATCGAGAACGCAAAAAATTTCGGGTGGTCAAATCTTATGGCGGAAGTTTTTTTTGCCCCCGGACGGGTTTGGTCGGTTTAACGACCAAAACGTCCACCGGACTTCTTGGTCGTCCGGACGTTTTGGTCGGTTACAGCTGTAAAGGTCACTGCAACAGCAGCAGAAAACTGAAACCATTGACAAATGCAAGGGTAGTTGTTTTATGGTTTTGGTAATGCCTTTATTGGTTCCAGCAAATTATCAGTAAAATGCACAGATTGTCTTCGATTTTAATGGAGCATGATATGAAAGAATGAGCACATGTAGTGATAATCAACAACGCTCACATAAACGCTGTCTGTTTGGCCCTAAGAAAACTTCTGGAGCTGTTTGGCACCGTCGGCTACCGATCGGTCCATTAAAAGCAACAGTTGATTTAAAATGCACCATTTCACTTTGCTTTAAATTGTAGGGAATTTAGTTTAAATTCTAAACTTGTATTAAGTAGTCCGACACTTTATTCTGTGTTTTCTGCATTGTCAAATATCTGGGGCTATGCAGTTTTGCTTCAGTCTAGTTGTCAGAATTCAGATAGATAAAACAGATATTTACCCGTAGGCTTAGGTCTAATTTTGCTCTGCTAGTCATATTTCAAAAACCGAAGGAGCGGCCGAAGTGGACCGGGTGCACAGCAGTAAAACTGTTTTTTTCCGGACACAAATTTTAACAATTCTAATTTTTAACAACTTAAACATATTCTCTGAATTACAGAGCAACGAAAAGCTAATTAAAGGCGCGATCAGCAGTTGCTCATATAGCGCCTTACAGGAGGGCTGGTGCCGGTGACCGGTAAGTACGTAAAATATGATAACTCGTAGTTATTGTAAGCAAATTATGAAAAAAATCGAAGCAATTTTTTAGCTATCGACTAAGTCCGCTTCAACAAAAATTCAAGAACAAAACTAGCAACGAACAGCACCACGACCGTATTTCAAAGTGCAACTATCCGACGGGGTCTTCGTCTTCGCTGCCGTTCTCGCCATCGTCTAAATCGTAGTCGAAGTCATCCTCTTCGACGTCGTCCATGTAGCATCCGTTTAGAGCGGCAAAGGTCAAGTTATTCAACTTGGAAACATCCAGCTGCCGCATATCCAACGTCTCCCAGAGCCGGGAATTGTCACCGGGTCCCAAACTGTTGAACCTGAGCAAACAACAAACCATTTCCGCTGCAACTTTCTCCCACAACTGAAGGCTGTTATACTTCGACGTTTTCTGCATTCCGGATACGGTGTTCTCTGTGTTGTTCCACATGACAAAAACTTTTCATAAACTGAGCACATCATAACTATTGTGTTCACCCAAACTTGCACACGGCATAAACAAAATTAAAAACGTTATCAACTTTCCAGTGTGGAACAACCAGAGAATACCTTGTCTATGGTGTCTGGAACACAAACTCATATCGTAAAAGTGTTCGGAATGCGGAAAACGTCGAACTAGCCTTGGATGCTTACAGCTGGAGAAACTTTCGGACGCGAGCCCATTCGTCCTCGGTCACGGTTTCCGCCCAATGCGCAAACAACGCCGTGACCTTCTGGCGGACCTGCTGATTAACAGCGGGACTGCTGTCGTTGGCCGCGAACAGAAAGCACCGACGCTGTTCAACGGCGGCGTCCTGGCAGCGGAAGCGCAGGAACGGAATGGTCACGCCCACATCAGCGGTTGTAAACTCGTTCGAACCAGTGTACAGAGAATCCGGTAATAGGCCCTCGTCCGTGCGTGAGTTCCTCATCCGATTCCACACTGAGCAAATGATCGACTGTGACGCATGGTAGTTGCCCAGGACCAGCGCATCGCACACGCTCATCACGGAGGACACCGCGCGCATTGTATACTCCTTGTCGGCGATACTGAAGGCCTGGTCCGCGTCATCGTCGATATCCATGACCTCGTTGGTATCGTCGTCGACATCGATGACCAGAAAGCGATCCCCTGCTTCCCCAGCGACCACAGCATTGTACCGCACCACGATTAAGGACAGGCGGATTCCTTTGATGTCCAATACAGCTTTGACGGTGTCCATTTTCTCTTCCAGACCGATGAAGTATCGATGATGACCGGTAACTTCGTCGCGGTCACCCAAGAGCAGCAGGACTGTAGTTTTTCGGGTGACGGCGCGGTCCAGCGTGGTTAGCAGCTTGTGCCCACGGGAACAGTACTCAACGCTAAAGTCGTGAGCATAGGGTCTCTGCGGCCACATCTGCAAGTTATCCAGGATGACGACCCGCTCTCCGTATGTCCGCACCATCTCACTCCATAACGCACAGACCCTGGTTAAATAAAACAGCAACTTACACCGTTGCTACTACTCGTACTGTCGTACACAAATTACTACTCTTAAAATTTACTGCTAAAATTTACGTAATCAGCACTAAATTTACTTAGTTATTATTAAGGAGAAAGCTGCGCACACCACGTTTTACCACCAAAGTCTCCGAGTCTCCGCACACCACCTTTCACCACCGCCAGGCTGCGCACACCACTGTTCGCACCACGTTTTGTCTCGGGCCACCATTTTTGCGCCCCACCATATATATTAAAAATACCGGCAGTCTCAGGACACCCCTTATACTCGCAGTTTCGAAGAGATACGGTGCTCGGTCTTACATACTCGTAATATATAGAGTACGACTACTACTTATATGAGCACGTACAACGGAAGCGGAGGCAAATGAGTGGTATTAAAAAAGAGCAGCCAGACGGCCCAGACCGCGAGACGAAAGTGCTGACTTTTTCCACCCGTGAAAACAATTAATTAATTTTTTAAAATAGTGGTGTGCAGAGATGGTAGTGGTTTGCACTCTGCCCTTGGTGGTGTCAGGAGATTTTGGTGGTTTTTGTAAGAAAATTAAAAAATAATAAAAAGTGGTGTGCAGAGCCTGGCGGTGGTGTTTCCTGGTGTGCGGAGACTTTGGTGGTGAAACGTGGTGTGCGGAGCCTTCCCCTATTATTAAATCTATAATAATATTAATTAACCAATTATTAATTTACTTCAATAATAATTTAAATTACATAGGTTAGGTAAAATTTACTACTAAACTTAAAATTTAATACTAAACTACTTTTTTTTCACTCCTTTTTTTACTACTTTTTTTTCATCGTCGCTAAAGCAGTTTCTGAGGTCGCATAATCCGCGAACGCTTCAGCTGGAAGGTTGCGAATGCATTAAGAAGAATACTGGCGTGAACTTGCCGGGACAAGCGTAGCTGACTGTCCACATCGACACCAGTCAAAATGGATTCCAGGATAGGAGTCGACAGATCTTTAAGGGAGACTTCTTCCGTGCCTGGTGGGCATTCACCGGAGGAACCTTAGCACAAGGAATACCATTATCAGAACAGTAACATGCAGATAATTGCGCACAGCCGACAAATCATTTTGCTACAGTTATACGGACAGGAACACATAAATGCTAAGAACTGATATACCGTACTTTGATAAGTTTGATCCACAGCTTTTCCAGGAGAGCCATTACCTATAAATACTATAACAGTATAATTTTTTATAATTTATTGGGCAATAGCCCCGATCTCATAACAGAAAGCCGGGGATGAAAAACACTACTCAAAAAAGTTGACAATTTAAAAACTGAAGGAACAACCAAAATCGTTAGTGTTATTCAAAACTTTGGGTCGCGCATTAAGTTTTCTCAAAATGGCAGCAGGATTTCCTCTAACAATCGCCAAACTTAGGTAATCGCTCTCTTAGAAAAGCTGTGGATCAAAATTATTAAAGTACGGTAAATCAGTTCTTAGCATTCATGTTTTCCTTGCCGTATAACTGTAGCAAATTGATTTGTCGGCTGTGCATAATTATCTGCATATTATTGCCAATGTCTACTGCCACTTATTAGTATTTATACTAATATGGCAATAGCCATAGCAAATTAGGCCACGCGTCTGCTGACCGTATTCTAGCTGCCTTGGTAAGGCGC